TATAATATGCTAGATATGCTAAGGCTGCTCAACCGCTCGCTATGACGTGCACTGACCACCAGGGGGCTTATGGCTGGTAAGTGCTGCTGTGGCAGCACAAGCCTCTCCCAATCTGGATGGATTGGGCAGGAGCCCGCAGTAGGCACAATGGGGCTGGGATGAGCAGAAGCATCAGGTAGGAGCTGCAGGTGGTGTTGGACTTTGGGTTTCGGCCCGATTCCTGCAGGCCATCTGGAGGGACCCCACCTGTGCATGAATTCATGCACCGGGCCTCTAGTGTGTGTGTGTGTGTGTGTGTGTGTGTGTGTGTGTGTATAATAATTAAGCACAACAATTCAGTCTGAAGTGCATAAATGCAGGTGATTTTGTGGCCTGGTCATGTTGTGTTTCATATGGTGTGCATTGTTCTGTAACAAAACATGTTCTTTAGGTTTTTCTTAATTGTGTGTCTTAGAAATCTCTCCACATTAGTTCATTTAGATCTATCCTTATGTCTGTTCTCTATGCATTTCATGAGGGTTTCTCTGGAGTAGACTCTAAAGTAGCCGTGGGCAAACTACGGCCCGCGGGCCGGATCCAGCCCGTTTGAAATGAATAAAACTAAAAAAAAAAAAAGACCGTACCCTTTTATGTAATGATGTTTACTTTGAATTTATATTAGTTCACACAAACACTCCATCCATGCTTTTGTTCCGGCCCTCCAGTCCAGTTTAAGAACCCATTGTGGCCCTCGAGTCAAAAAGTTTGCCCACCCCTGCTCTAAAGTCTGACTTCAAGGGTATGTGGTCTGTGAATTTTTAATTTTGGTATAAATTGTGTTCCAAAGTAGCTGAGCCAATTTGCACTCCCATCAGTAGTATATAATGGTAATTATTTTTCACTGCCCCCCATCACATTTTATACAAACATTTTTTAATCTGAATCGTGCATGATGACATTTTTTTCTTGCCTTCAAAAAGGTTAGCCTTCACCAAAAATAAATGTATAGATAGATGTCACACACACACACACACACACACTCCTCTTTCATAGATGATTTTTCACACTAAAAACTCCTCACATTATAAACTTAGTGTTATTTTAATTGCTTTGTGACAATGAATATTTTAATACAAATTACATTTCTAATCTTTAATAAGTATCCTGAAGTCCAGTTTCAGTCATGAATTAAAAATGAAAATAAGTTTACTGAATCAAGATTTCAAGACATCTATACACCACCCCATGCCTTTCACCCCTTAACATTCTGGACCTTTTTGGATGAGTCCTGGGAATTTGAGCTGGGGATTAGGGTGTTGGACAGTGTGAGGGAAGGTGACTAGAAATTGCTCATTAGACGCAGAGTTACAGATCAAAGAAGAGCTCAAACCAGTTATTTCCCTCCATTATTGAGAATTTATTACATGAAAAGAGACAACGCTAACCTTTTATGCATTCAATAAATATTTACTTTTTCATACTGTGTGGTAGGTACTGGGTGTATGTCTGAGTTAAATAACTACGTTTTCTCGTGAAGTATTCAGTCTAGGGGAAAAGACTCAAGTAGCAAACCTAATTGCCAATCGGAAACAGTAAGACGGAAACAACCAGTGCTGACATTGACAAAAACAGGGATACATCCTTGTGCTAGAGTTTCAAGAAGGCCTTGCTCAGACCTGAAACACTGGAAGATACTCTCCATGCAAAATTCAGGGAGAGCATTCCTAACAGAGAGTGCAGCATTTGTGACCTACCCTAAATTGTGTTAGACTGGGAGACCCTGTGAGAAGGTGGCAGCAGAACCGGTGAGGCAGGGTAGAAGGACATAGGGCAGGTACAGGTGCCAATAGCTTTAAAAAATCCGATAAGAAAAAAAAATGAGAGTGATCCAACCTGCTAGAGTAGAGAAGAGAGGAGGAAAGAGGTCCCTGAGAGCTCCAAACTGCTGTTCCTCACAGCAGCGTCAGACTGAGGAAGGCAGCGCTTAGTAAGGAACAAGTCTCCACAATGATACCCATGGCAGGGAGATGTTACCTACTATTATAAAGACATGAACATGTTCTGAATAAAATATATGTATTTAATTGTATTTAGGGCATACTATGGGTCATTAAGAAATCTATATATATAAAAGCCTAAGCGGCCATTATGACCGAACGACTGGAATGACCAGTCAACCAGTCACTATGACATGCACTGACCACCAGGGGGCAGATGCTCAATGCAGGAGCTGTCCCCTGGTGGTCAGTGCACTCCACAGCTAACTGCCTGCAGGCAGCCAACCTCCCACAGTCCCTCACCCACAGCTGGTAGGCCAGGCTGGGACAGGGAACCGAGGGTGGGTGGCGGTGGACGCAGCTCCTTTCCCAGGAAGGCCAAGGGCCGGCTCCCTTCTTGGGCCAGTGGCCAACCTCCTGCGGTCCCTCCCCCCGTTCCTCCCTCCAGCAGGCAGGCCCCAATTGGCTCTGATTGCTCGCCACGCCTAGGGACTCCCCTCCATGCATGAATTCGTGCACCAGGCCTCTAGTGTTGAAATAAAATTCATCTGTGAAATTAGCCTTCTTCTAGAATATCCTCCACTTTCCTTCTCACGTTAACTGTCTTTTCCTCAGTGTTAGAGGATAATAGCATCCTCTTTATAGTATGTTATATTTTCAATGTGTCAACACACGGGTTTTCAAAGTAAAACTTGCATGCATTTCTTTTAAAATTGGCAAAGCAATACAAGAATATCAATAGCAAAATAAAGATTAAATTATCGTTAGGATTTATATGAATCCCCTAATGTAAGAAGCTACTTAACAGCACAAACAACAATCAATAAGTCAATATGCTAAGAAGAGTAAACAAGAATTGCTCCCTTTTATCTATAAATATTATTTGGCACACAAAAGGTCTTGCTTTTTATTACTATGGGGCAGGTTTATTTCAATAACAACTAAATTCTATCATTTGAATGCAGGATTGTGGTTTGCTGATTCACCCGGAGGAAGCCTGTGGGTTACAGCCTATTTCTTCTGACTACATTGAAGCCATTTCACAGCCCAAACTAAAAACTTGTCCATCTGGGGACACAAAAGGTGACTATCACACTGGCTATCACATCTCTTTAAAAAACTTTAATGTAGATAAGTATATGCTTATTTTAAAATCCATATACAAAAAGCTCAAGACAATACATCACTTTTTCATTAGTATGAACTGCAGCACATGTAATTAATGTAAATGCATTGTTTTAACATGTGAAATATTTTGATTAATTACTTTTCTCTTCACCCTCTGTTCTTGGCCCACATAATTCGTATTCATCTACAGATCTCAGCTCAAACATGACTATAACACAGTCTTCCTTGAGTCTCTGATTTGTTTCCTTATTCGATACTAGAGACCCAATGCACAAAATTGGTACAAGAGTAGGCCTTCCTTCCCCCGGCTGCCGGCACCGGCTTCCCTCTGGCACCCAGGACCTGGGCTTCCTTGGCAGAGGGAGGCTTCACCCACCCACCACAGCTCACCAGTTGGTGGCCTGGGTCTCCCCTGCTGGACGATCATGAGACGATGGCCGGGCCCCCAACCAATAGCATTGCACCTGCCTTGGCTGGCCTGGTGCCAGTGGGTGTCATAGCGTGGAAGGTCGTTCGGTCTAAGTAGCATATTATGCTTTTATTATTATAGAGTCACATAACACCCTGTGTTTTCTCCCATAGTGGAGTCTTTAAATGATTATGTATGTAATTAATTGTGTAATGTCAGTGTTCCCAGGCTGTCAGCTGCACAAGGGCAGGAGTCTCATTGGTTCTCATTGTATCAATTCACATCCCACTATAATTTCTACAGAGTAGGCACGAAATACCAATAAGTATCTGTCGATCTTTTGAATCAAAGAAATGCAAAGAATACACGTTTAATTTTATTTTTTAACTTTATTTTTTCCAACACCATTTATCCCCTCTATGCCCTCTTCTGCCTCCATCCATCTCCCTCCATCCCCGCAATCACCACACTGTTGTCCATGTCCATGAGTTCTACCTTTTTTTTTTTTTTTGCTCAAGCCCTCCCTTCCCAGGCCCACTCTCCCCAGCTGTTTGCCTGCTCTCTATGAGTCTGTCTCTATTTTTCTTGGTAGTTCAATTTTGTTCATTAAATTCTACATATGAGTGAAATCATATGGTACTTGTCTTTCTCTGAATGGCTTGTTTCACTTAGCATAATGTTCTCCAGGTCCATCCATGCTGTTGCAAAGGGTAAAATTGTCTTCCCTTTTTCCAGCAGAGTAGTATTCCACTGTGTAAATGTACCACAGCTTTTTTATCCACTCGTCTACTGATGGGCACTTGTATTGCTTCCAAATCCTGGCTATTGTAAATAACTGCAATAAACACAGGGATCCATACATTTTTTTTGAATTAGTGTTTTGGGTTTCTTCAGATATATTCCCAGAAGTGGAATTGCTGGGTCATAAGGCAGTTCCATTTTTAATATTTTGAAGTAACTTCATAATGCTTCCCACAGTGGCTGCACCAGTCTGCATTCCCACCAACAGTGCATGAGGGTTCCCTTTACTCCACATCCTCGACAGCACTTGCTTGTTGATTTATTGATGATAGCCATTCTGACAGGTACATGTTTCATTTTAAATCATGTTCTTTAACTATAAAAAAGGTCTCTGGGAATGATTAATAATGTCTTCCATATATTGAGCATAGTAGAGGCAGGAAAATTGTGATGTCCAATTCAAATGAGAGTTCAGACCTGCCTAAGCCAAGAGCAGACCATGAGTGAGAGACTTTGGTGCCACTGGCCGCAGCCACAGCCTCCCTCCCGCAGCCCCAGCCCCCTCCTGCAGCCCCCCTCCCGCAATGTGCTTCTTTCAGTAGAGACCAGTGGGGTCAAGCCGGAGCTGGGACTGAACATGCCTCCATGGCCAGCAGAGGTGCAGGGGTCATCTTCTCTGAGATTCCTGGTTCCCACGCTGGCCTCCTGACCCCAGGTCTCCCTTCATCTAAAAAGTCTGAAAAAATACTCAGGAGCTTTTCTACCCTTGCCATGAACTTCACACCACAGTGTAGATGGGAAATGAGTTTCACAAATGGGCAGGACGAATCGCAATTTGGCACGCCCAGTTAACAAGCACGGGCATACCGCGTCCTTGAACATGTGTTCTAAATAATAAATTCCAGTCAGGGCATAAAGAGTGGTTTGCCCATTACGGTGCATCAGGTGGTATAATTCATGATTCTCTTAGTGAAGTGAGATACAGTTAGATACTCTTGTATACAAAAGAGACACCAATGAGTCTAGTAAGCATTTTTTTTAATCAGATGACAATTTATGAGAATCATAAAACAACTTAATTCCATTCCTCCTACTGAACCAAGTCAAAAGTTCTTCAACAAGAAGTCAAAGATACATTACTGAGATTCTTCCGGAAGTCTTGGCCATTAAGTTTGCAGGAACCTCGGCCAGGCCCAGAGGCCCCCACAGAACAGGAGCCTTCTGGTAACTTGAGTAGCTAGGCTTCTTTACAGAAACCCCCAAACTGACCCCCCAAGCAAGCCCATCATCCTAGTCTGACTATTGCAGGCCTCCATCATCTGATCCTCCTGTCTCTCCCAGCTCCTCCCAGCCTCTCCGCCTCATTTTATGCCAATGATGCTGCCCAGGACTCCAGACTATTGTCCATGTGATTCCCTCTCCTACCAGCCTTCCCAGCTCGGCCTCTGTCTTCTGATGCTCTATCTTCCTCTCCAGGAAGCCTTTCTTTACCGCCCCACCCCCAGATTAGCTTCTCTTCTATGCTCCCAGAATACCTTGGACACATGTCTACAGTAGCACTTACCTCATTGTTTCAGGTGCTTCATTTACACGTTTCTCTTCCTTTCTCTAATTAGTAGTCTGTAAAGTGGAATGATGTATCTGAATAGTCAGTGGCACAGAACGAAGCCAGCAAAGATTAAAATATATGCACATTTACTTTTTATCTAATCACTCTTATTTTTGTGCCTGGTTTGCATGTTTCTCCAGAACAGAGTTTGTCACTTACTCACCTTTCAGTGTCTAATACATGATTTAAAAATGGTTGCTTTTTATCTAATCACTCTTATTTTTGTTTTATAATGCAATTAATGTATACATATAGAAGTACTCATATATGTATGTCTGATACAGTATATATGTATTCATATGTCAAATGCGCATTAGCAATACATTTTTACTAATGACCGCCCTGGTTTGCATGTTTCTCCAGAACAGAGTTTGTCCCTTATTCACCTTTCAGTGTCTAATACATGATTTAAAAATGGTTGATGAACTGCCCTAGCCGGTAGCTCAGTAGATAGAGCATCAACCTGCGGACCAAAGGGTCCCAGGTTCAATTCCCATAAGGGCACATACCTCAGTTGCAGGCTCCTCCCCAGCCCGGGCCCTAGTCAGGGTGCGTGCAGTTCTCTCTTTCTCTCTCTCTTCCACCCTCTGTAAAAATCAATGGAAAAATATCTTCGAGTGAGGATTTAAATTTTTTTTAAATGGTTGCTGAACTAAAACCATGTCCAAGCTCTCCTCCCTTCCACAGAAGAATGTGTGCAGCCAAGGCACAGTCAACCAGGGATAACTGCTCGGCCCTTGAGGTCCTAAGTACTCAAAGTAAATGAGTGAGATTGGGGACAGTGGTTTGCAAGAATGGATTTTTTATATCTCTCTATATCTATCTATATATATTTTTTTGCAAGAATGGATTTTTTTGCTGCTGGAGATCATTTTCCTTCCTTGATGGTAGGACTCCCTTCTGTTGAATGAAGTTATCATGGTCGACAGCCCAGGAGGAAGTTTACTTAGGAGCTCTCACTTTAGCTTCTTATATTTTTAGGCCGCAGATTATTTCCAAAAACTGATTTTCACAGCCCATTACAGGCATTTGGCAGAATTGGATCCATTCTTTCACCTTGCCAATGTAATGACGGTCACAATGTCTTTTCTATAACACTAGCTAATATAACTTTGAGTGGCTGTATATTGCAATTCTTTAGTGGATTTCTAACCTTTAGAAAGTAATTTAAATATAAGACACAACCTAAGAATAAAATCTGTTACTTCACAAGGAAAAAAGAATTCTTCTAATTTGGAGAAAGAAGAGATGTATACAATGATTATTGAATAAGAATTACCTTTAAGGAAAAGAGTTCAGATTTCATTTTATGCTATGTGCGCAAAAGCATTAATCAGACCTTATTTTTAAGTAAAAACTGCTTTATTTTATAGCATTATAAAATCTAGAATTAGTATTATCATCTATGTGATTTTATATCTCAATGTGGCCCTAAATCAAAAAGTTAATTTTTTTTCTCCATTATATTGCCTGATCTCATTCACTTAAATGGCAGAAATCTATCTCATTAAATACAAAGCTATAATTATAAATCAAATAACTTCTCACAAAAGGCAGTTTTATGCCTCAGAATGTTTTTCCCTAAAACATATGTCATATTTTATTTCAGAAATCACAGCTTTGATTCATTCAATGTTTAAATACAGAACTAGAATTTATGTCCTTCTTTTTGACAATTTTAGGTAAGAGCTGGTATCATTTAAGATGTCAAGGAACTCCAGTCCTGCAGATGCATCTTTTAAGCAGTATTACTAACTTGAAAGAAAGGCATTGTTAACCAATACAAAAATGCAGAGTTAGGACTGTATAAATATATAGTAGTATGAACCAATGGGACCAAGATTTTAGAGACACAATCAGTTGTCCGTCCGCCCCCCCCCCCAAACTAATTGTACTCATATTTGTATCTTTGTGCTTGTATTTATTTGGCCGCTTGTTTCTTCAGCCATAGCAGCAAGTGACCAAAGAAAGCCTCAGTTTGTGCAAAATTAGCTGCCAGCAAAGGGCTGGGGGAGAGGAGCGTGTCTGTGGGAGAGGATGCATGTGCTCTTAGATATTCAAGGATCTGATGAAAGCTGAGCCCTTTAAATATAATCTCATTAGCAGAAACACCTTCATGTCCCCAACATCCTGCCATCCTCTTAGAAAGAAAATCAACCATCTTTCTGTTTGAAAAATAATCTCTGTCAACACATGAACCCACTGAAAAAATTCAAGTATTTGAAGTAAAGATAAGTTCATTTAAAAAATACAAAAACCTATTTATAGGTTTTCCTGTAAATGCCACAAATGACACTGTTAGGCTATATTTCATTTTCAGCTGGTGATTCTGTGCTGACCTAACTCAACATGATAAAAGGATCAGCAAAGTGGAGACTTCTAGGCCTCAGTTCTGGTACAGCTCTGTCATGAACGGCATGATTTCACTTCTGTCATTCAATGCTGTAGGCCTCAGTTTACCTCATTTCTAAAAGAGGAGGAGACCCAAGGCCCATTGAACACCATCCAAGAGGGTTCTATATGTTCACAAAATGCAAATCTCTATGAAGTAAAGTCACTTCCAGAAGGAGGTTTTCTTGAGAAATTAATCAACAAACATTAAACTTAAGGCTATGTCTAAATCACATCGAATTAGAAGAGACCAAGCATAGAGGTGAAGGAGTTGATTATGGATTAGAAACCCTGTGTGCCAGGAAAAATTAGATGTAGAAAGCAAGTTATATTTTATATGAAAAGCACAGAAAAATCTATACAAGAGAATCAGAGGGTGAGACAAGCACACTCCTAACACTTTCTGTGTTGTATCTTTTAATAATACCACTAGACTCTACATATGGAAAGTGGAAACACCTTTCACCCAGCAGACCTTTTACTCTCCAATATATATAGTCACTTCTTCTGCCTCACTTCTCTCAGGTCCACCCATCACTGCCCCTAAACACCACCAATTCCATATGTCCAATTCTTGTCTATCCATAAGACCTCATTTCAGTTTATGCATTCCATGGAACCTTCCAGACAACTCTTGCCCCCATGACACTTTCTTTATTCTGAACTACCATGGTTTACTTAAGGTGGGGGTGGGGGGTAAAATGTATTCATCAGTTGCTAGGTAGCAGGCACTATGGCAGGTGCCATACATATTTTCCGTGCAGAGAAAATTAAGTAACCTATACAAGTTAAACAGTGGTTCTCAACCTTGGCTGCACATGGAATTACCTGAAAAGCATTTCAAAAAATACTCCATGATGGAGAATATCATACTAAGTGAAATAAGTCAGCCAAAGAAAGACAAGTATCACATGATCACACTCATAGGTGGAATCTAATGAACAAAATAAACTGATGCACGGAGTGGATCCAGAAACATGGAAGCATAGAACAGAGTGTAGAATCGCAGAGGGAAGGCGGGGGAGGGTGGGTGGCTGGGAGGTAATCAACCAAAGACCTTGTATGCATATAAGCATAACCCATGGACATAGACAATAGG